TGGGAGCGGAGGAGAGCAGCGCGCTCGGGCACGACCAGGCGCCTCGTCGCGGAGGTCCCGGACTTGGGGGGTTCGCAGGGGACCCCCGCGGAGGCGTGGAGCGCCAGAAAAGGTTTTCTCCTTCCCTTTTTCTTGAATTCAGCTCCAGTTGCGATTTGGCCAGGGAAGCAGGCTTGCTTGCTGTTTTGGATAAGGCCGATATCGAATTCGACTGCGTTATTCAAAGATACTCCGAGGCTATTGTTTTGTTTGCGGGAGGTGGGTTGGTTCAAAATCGTATGAGAGGGCCAGATTCATCCCAACCTGCCTACTTTCGGGTCTGACTCGGCACCTGTAGGCTTCGGATTGGAACACACAGGACACATGCCCCCACCCTCCTCGGCACCTGGCGGCCAGACCCAAAGCGCCCCCAGCGTCGCTAGAAACCTTGATGGAGGCAGGGTGGGGGTTGGAGGGGTCGACTCTTAGCCCTCAGGGGGCGAGGAGGCACGGGTTCGCTGCGCACCGCACTTGCACCCGAAAGACTCTCACCAGGGGCTTTCTAGAAGAAAACTTATTTTGTCTGCTTCTTTTGTGAATATATATATGTATATTTTTGCCGCCGGAGTTACAGTTTCTGGCAGCGATCCCGATTTAATGTGTATTGGAGACCCTAAGGGGTCGGCAGAGGGAAGGGGTGGGGACTTCAGCCTCTTTCCAAACCTATGGCCCTATGTCCCTACAGACTATAATAAAGTGTGGAGTTGTCTCAGCTAGTGAAGTTGGGGACGACGGGTCTCTCAGGATTCTTTGGGGGAGAATGAGACCTTCTCCGATCTCAAGTCCTTTGGGATTCCGATTACTTTGGGATTCAGAAAACTGAAGGAGCCCAGCGGTGGCTCCAAGCTGGAGATCTGGGAGCTGATGAGGAATCTTTGATTCTCTGCTTATTACCGGCAGTGCTGCCCAGGCCTGTGAGTCCTTTGGTCATTTGGAAAAGATTCTTCAAAAGAGTGAACTTAGTTTGGGTCTGGATTTACTATGAGTAGAGATTTCCCCTTGACCTTTAGCATGGTCAGGGCTCGGATGGGTGACAGCAGGGCCACTGTCTCCCAGCCCCATTCTCTTACCCTTAATCGCGGTCAGTACTTACTGAGTGCCTTCTGTGTAGGTTACTGGGCTAAGGGCCCTGCCTAGCTGCCTAAAAGTAAATCTCCCAGCAATTGGAGGGGGGCACTATTACTATCCTATTGTAAAGATGAGGAAACTGAGGCACAGGGAGGCTAGGCCTCTCGCCTAAACTCACAGAGTTAGTGAAGAATCAATCTGGATCTAAATAGGGCAGTCAGCCACAGGCTCTGAGCTCTTAACCCCGGTTTCATACTGCCCCCTGTAATCTGGGAATAATAATACCTCCTTCCCAGGATCAGGGCAGAGATTAAATGAGAGAAATGTGTGCCAAGCACCTGGCATGCAGTGGGCCCTGGATAAACCTTGGTTCTCTGTGCTTCTGGCTAGAACCACTTTCCCATCCTCTTGAGACTCACCTCCTTAATCCCCCCTAGTCTTTGCAGAGGGGACCTGATCCCTTGCCCGGTGTAGCGTTCCAAGAACGAAGATACAGTGTCTATTTAAAAAGCCCTTTGGATTTAAATTGAACAATTCCCTCCGCCCCACCCCCCTTTTTTTAATCTGCACGCTTTTAACGGCTCACTTCATGGACATTAATTTTAATGGGACGATTATTACCCTGTTTGGAAGCCTGCCCCTCCAAGTGCTGGGCTCACGAGGTGGCGCTGGGTCGGGTCCCAGCCACTTGGATGTTTACTGTAGCCAAGAGAGTGCAGCCTTGGCCATGGGGACGTGTCATTCATCAGAGGGAGAAGAGAAGGGGGTGATGGAAAAGTGGGGGAAAGGGAAAGACCTGCCCCCCACCACCGGCACCACACCACGTCTGAGTCTCTAACGGGTGTACACTGGAGCTGTTTTGGCCTCTCCCACCATTCGCTCCTTGGGGAACGTGGCCTGGAGACGAGGCTTTTTGGAGCCTCCATTTCCTCGGCTGTAGAGTGGGAATCATAACGGTAGCGACCTCAGAGTTAAAAGAGATTATACCGGTAAAGCCCTTAGCGCAGTGTCCAGCACGTCTTTAGCATTTAATAAATGTCGGCTACTGTTAATATTTTAAAGTCGATCACGTAGTTGCTAAACAGCGTGCTTTGAAGAATGTTGGAGGGCATGGTTCTCCTATTGTGAATTGGCGATTCTGTCACTGTTAAGTATCGTCCGGAAGAAGCAAATTCTTTGGGAGAGTAACAACATAATGCTCTCCTAACACTGTAGAAAAAAATGAGGTTTTTTTTCAATTTTAATGCTTAATTTAATAAACACATATAGCGCTGACTCTATGCTAGGCACTGTTCTAAGTGCCTCAGATATATTAACTCATTTAACCCTGATAATAACTCTATGTCATGGTACATGGACTATTACTAGTCCTATATTATGGATGTCCAAACTGAGGCAGAGCTTTAAATACTTTAATCCAAGGTCATACAGCTGTCTGGCCCCAGAGTTTGTGCTCGTTAGTATTATGTCACCATTGGGGACTTGGGAAGAGGGAGGGAGGCTGAACTGTGGCTCCCTCCCCCAAATTCCTTTGTGGAAGTCTTAATTAAGTTAAGATGAGGTCATTAGCATGAGGCCCTAATCCAATAAGACTGGTGTCCTTATTTTAAAAAAGGAAGAAAAGGGCATTAAGAAGGTGGCCATCTGCAAGCCAACAGGGAGGCCTTAGGAGAAACTAACCCTGCCAGCTCCTGGATCTCAGATTTCTGGCTTCCAGAATTGTGAAAAAATAACTTTCTGTTATTTAAGCCACTCAGTCTGTGGCAGTTGGTTATGGCGACCTTAGCAAATGAATACAGAGGCAATAAGAGGGAAAGAATGTCCTGAAATGGTTGTTAGAAGCAGCTATTCACCAGACTGTGGCTGCTTTGACAGCCAGCATGTGCTTTCTGGGTTCTTGAGAAGTGCTGAGTTCTAGGACTGTTCACCTGTCCCCCTTCTTCCTCTTCTGTGCCCTGTTGGAGACCTCTAAGGAAGGAGTTGTTTTAGGGCCTTATTTTGAGAAACAGTTCATGAAATCCAGTTAATACCTTTATTCAGAGAAAACTTTCCTAACCAGTTGCAAGGATGCACAACCTCTCTCTCATAGAGTGAAGACATAAGACAGATTTTTCTAGCCCACAAAGGCTTCCTGTGGTACCCCAGTGCTCACAATTGAGCAGAGCACACAACAGGTATTCAGTAAATATTTGTTGAAAGGAAGACTCAATGAATGAATGAGTGAATGAATGAGTGAATGAATGAATGGTGAGTATCCTGATTTGTCTTTCTGTCTTTCAGACATACACAGTGATGCACATAGAATTGTTATAATCAATAACACAAAAAAATTTTCTTGTCCCAGATCATTTCTTTACCTCCTACAGAAATCAATACTCAAGTGTTTTGAGCAGGAAGGGGGGGGTGTGGATTTCTTTTCTTTAATTAAAACGATAATTACCTATCCTGGTATCTGAGACCGAGTGAGCCTTACCTTATGGTGTTTTAATTCGTATGGCTTGGTGAAGTGGCAAATGAGTGAACAGTGTTGCCTCCTCCAAACAGCTGTGTTTCCCGAAGCCATGTATTGATGCCAGGGCCAGATTCGATGCCAGGAGTCAGCTTGGTGAACAACGGAGCTCTTGAATTGAAGTTGTAGCAGAGTGGTTGGACACTCCAAGCCAGAGAGACCTAGGTTTGGGCATATTTTTCACCTCTCTGAGCCTCCGCTTTCCCATCTGTAAAATGGGAGTAATAACCGTATTACTTCATTGCGTTGTGGTAAGGATGAAAAGAGAGACTGCATCAAGTGTTTAGCAAAGTGCTCAGCACTCAATAAATGTTAGTTATGGTCCTTGTTGACATATCGGGATTATTAAGCATCCACTTAAGAAACAGAACAGGGACCCTGACCCAAAGCCACTGGGAAAACAAGAGGACTCAGGTTTCAGTGAGTTCAATATTCAATTACATCACAGTTATTCCCAGGATAGTCCCTTTCATTCAATAGACTCAGAGCAGGACAGCTCTCATCTCTCACATTTATCCTATTTCACCCTCTGATACCTGAAAAGATGGGGTAACTCCCTCTCCAGGGATCTCCTAATTATTCATTTGATACCTCTCCCTTAAGGATCTTTTTGTTGTAAGTAAAGAGGGAACAGCAGACAAATGTCCACAGCAGGGGAGGGAAAAAAATTAACCACCCCATAATTATAGTCTCATCAATACTTTAAGTGTAAAGGGTAAACCTCACTTAAATAAAACCTAATGCCTTGATTACTGGAGACGCAAGAGACAGGGTTGATTAAACCTGCACTCCCGCTGTGAAAATTCAGACATATTGTCCTTTGCTCAGGCAATATTCACTTTATTGGAGGCAACTGAGCTTAGTTTAAACAAGTGAATCACTAGGCTTGAAATTATACTGATGAGAGGGTAAATGAGGATAAATGCTGAAGAACAATTTGGCAGACCTGGAAAAACAGAAAATGCACATGGCCTATGACCCGGTGATTCCATTTCTAGCTGTTGACTCCAGATCTGTCAATAGGGACTCAACAAGGGACAGTTGCTCCCCAGGAGACCTTTGGTTGTCAAAATCGAAGGGTGCGATTAAGCCTCCAACGGGAAGAAGCTAGAGATGCTGCTTAACATCCTATAATGCACAGACAACAAAGAATTCTTTGGCCCACAATGTCAACAGCACCGAGTGTGAGAAACTGTGCCCTGGATATACCAGTTAGTATGCATTTGGCACAAGGAACAGACAATCCCACTGGTAGAGACTTAAATCATAAGGATTTTTATTATTTTCTTGACAATAAGTCCAGAGCAGGGACTAGGAAGCTATGGTGTGTGAACCAGTCTGGTGCACTGCCTGTTTTTGTAATAATCTTATGGGTGGGTACGCAGTCACCATCACTCATTAACGTATTATCTATCTCTGGCTGCTTTTGTGCTACAACAGCAGAGTTGAATAGCTTCAACAGAAACGGTATGGGCCGCAAAGCCTAAAATCATACTGTCTGCCCCTTTTTAGAAAAATGCAATTGTTGGATCATGTGGTAGTCACATGTGTAGTTTTCTAAGAACCTGCCAAACTGTCTTCCAGAGTGGCTGTACCATTTTACACTCTCACCAGCAATGGATGTGTGATCCCAGTTTTCCTGCATCCTCTCCAGCATTTGGTATTGACACTATTTTTTAAAATTATTATTATTTTAGCCATTCGACAGGTATGTAGATATCTCATTGTAGTTTAATTTGCTTTTGCCTAAAGGCTAATGATGTTGAACATCTTTTCATATGCTTATTTGCTGTCTGTATATCTTCTTTGGTGATCCACCTATTTATGTAAATAAAGTTTTATTGGAACACACACCCATACATTTATGCATCATCTGGGTGTGTTTTTTACACTGTAACAGGAGAACTGAACACTTGAGACAGAAATTGCATGGTTGAAAGGCTAAATTATTTACTGTCTTGCCCTTTATGGAAACTTTTTGCCAACCTTTACCTTAGATGAATTATAATTTATTCTTTGAGAATGTGCCCAAAGCTATCCACACAAAATCAGGGTTTTCTTAGTAAGGGAGAAGGAACAAATGACAGTATCTGCTGCTTTAGAGAAAGTATCCCAGGGACTCTCAGAGATGTTCACTGCAGTATTGTTTGCCAAAATTAATTAGGAAGCAAAAAAAAAAAAATGCCCCTCAAGAGGAGAGTGGATAAATAAAATGTGGTATATTTGTACTATGGAATACTGTAAGGAATTACAAGGCATGAACTACGTCTATAAACAGATTTCAGAAACAATCTTGAGTTAAAAAAAGGCATTTGTGCAGTTTGATACTGTGTGTATAAATCTGAAACATATGAAACAATGTTATAAATTATTCACGGGCACACTCACTTGTGTGTCTTCAAAATAGATGGAAGGATACACATAAAATTCTTGATAGTGGCTTTGCCTTTTCCTCTGGGAGTTGGAGGTAGAAATAGCAATGGGGCAGTTGACAAAAGGGACTTTGGGGAGATACACATGCACTTACTAGGAGTTGAAACTCATTTTCCACATATTCCAGTTTCAGGAATTTGATGACAAGGTTTTTAATAATGAAGGTTGGCTTTATGTGTCATCTCTGCATTTTTCCATCTTTACTTTGAGGTAAAGTACACAAATAAGGAAATCTCAGACTTCACTGGTTTCCCTGGCTATTACAGTGTCTTGTATCTTTTCGTGGCTCATTTGTACCTGCCCAGCATTCGCCCTCTGCTTTTTGAGAATTTCTCCCCCTCCTTTGATCCTGTGGTGCTGATAGAGGCTCCAGTCTTAGGAGCCTCTGCATTCCTTGGTCACAGAGATGGGCAGCTGACCCATGGTGGGCCATTATGATCCCCTGGCTTACGGAGTTAGTTGGAGATGGACGTGTAGCCAGCTTCCTGCTTCCTGCTTCCTGCAAAAGCAAGGCCTTAGGGTTCTTCCTAAGAGCTCAGCCTCAGGTCTATCTTCAGCCCTCTCAATAAGCCTGCAAGCAACTTATTCCGGTGTGATCATATTTTTTCTTCTTAGAAGGGAGTCTGTCCCTACAGCTGAACACTGACTAATATGCAATGGATTAGCAAGTATATGGTCCAGAGTATATGTTCCCAGAGCTCCTCTCCAAAGATAAAACAGTAAGAGATTCTATTACAAAGTGGAGAGAGGAGAGATGCATAGAAAAGAACAGTTGGTGAAATACAATGGAGTAACTCTGGCATGCACTGTGATGCACTTCTCGGAACTTCTCAGCAGTGATTCTCAATTTTTGCTGTACCTGGGGAGCTTTTTAAAATCTTGAGACTCAGGACACACCCCAGACCAATTAAATCAGAATGTCTGGGATGGGAGCCAGACAGCAGTAGCTTTTACAGACCCCAAGGTAATTCCAATGAGCAGCCAAGTTTGGAACACAGTTCCCTTCAGGAAGGAAGGATATATTCCTCCAGGTGCCATAAGTGTTGCGGGAAGACTGCCCTCAGCTGTTAGTCCCCTGTGGGGATGGTCTCAGTTGAAGAAACTGAGTGTATTTCCTTCCAGGGGCAGTTCACATCCACTGACTCATCAACATGTGGGTATAGAGGCCAGATCGCTTTGCCAACATTTGAGACAACTCTAAGATGCAACAGGGACCACATCATAGCTCAGCTTTGGCCTGTGCCCGGTCCTGCTTCCTTCTCCTCCCTTCCATAGGTGGCGATCTCAAGGGTGTCCCTAATATATCTCCTGAATGCCAGTCTCCGTCTCAGGCTGGCTTCCCGCGATACCCTACGATAACCACGACGATAACCATCTTAGGTCTTCCATCTTTATTCACGTGAAAAGTCCTGACACCTAAGTCAAAACACAGCTATGCTATCGACACATGACTGAGTAAACAAAATATGGCCTAGCCATACAATGGAATATTATGTAGCCTTAAAAAAAGAAGGAAATTCTGACACAATCTACAACATAGATGAATCTTGAAAACACTGAGTTAAGTGAAATAAGCCAGACACGAAAGGACAAATGCTGAATAATTCCACTTACATGAGGGACCTAGAGCTGTCAAATTTATCCAGACCCTAGAATGGTGGTTGTCAGGGGCTGTGAGGAGGGGCGATGAGAAGTTAGTGTTTCATTGGGACAGCGTTTCAGTTTCGGATGATGAAAAAGCTGTAGAGATGGACAGTGGTGATGGCTGCACAACAATGTGAATGTACTTAATGCCCCTGAATTGTACACTTAAAAGTGGTTAAGATGGTAAATTCTGTTATATATATTTTAGCACAATTTAAAAATTGCCAGCAAACTCCCGTGATCATGATTCCAAATCTGAAAACCTATCCTTATTGTTAATCTTTTCCTTATTCCCACAACTTTTAGATCCATACAATTTCAGATTTGAAAAGTCTCCAGAAAATCATCTCAAAGTGTGGGGCCCTGGACCAGCAGCATCAGGATCGTATGAGAATTTGTTGGAAGTGTAAATTCTTGGTCAGACTCTGGGGTGGGGCCCAGCACTCTGTGCTTCTGGCGCTCATTGGTCTAGATTATCTTTAATATCTTGCCAATGAGAAAAGCAGGGGTCACAGAAATCAAGTGACATGGAGGAGGGGAGGCAAGGGAGGGAGGAAGAGAAGGAGAAAGAGAAACACCAGCAAGAGCCGTCTGAAAAGCCTTGTTTGAGAGCCTGAGTTGACTTCTACTCTTGACCTCCCAGAGCAAAAATAAATTTTCTTTTTAGCTAAAGTCATTTTAAGTTGGATTTCTATTTTTCAACCTAAAAATCTTCCAGTATGATGTTGAAAAGAAGTAGTAAGAGGAGACCTCTTTACCTTCTTCCTGATTTTAGTGGAAAAGCTTCTAGTTTCTCACCATTAAGTACTATATTAGCTGTACATTTTTTGTATATATTTTTTAGCAAGTTGAGGAAGTTCCCCTCTAGTCCTAGTTTTCTGAGAGTTTTCATGAATGGGTGCTGGATTTTGTCAAATGCTTTTTCTACATCTATTGATAAGACCGTGTAATTTTTTTAGCCTGTTGATGGGATGAATTACATTAATTGATTTTTGAGTGTTGAACTAGCCTTGCATACCTGGGTTAAAACCCATTTGGTCATGGTGTACAATTTTTATATGCATTGTTGGATTTGACCTGCTAATATTTTGTTTAGACTTTTTGCATATGTGTGTTTTTTTTTTTCTGGTA